GTACTTGTTATTCCTAATTTACAGATTAGGAAACTCAGGAAATTAACTTGCCCAGTGCCATAAGGTCAATACATGGCAGAGCTGAATCTGCATGCAGCCCTGTCTGACTTTTCATACTGTACTGAACTGCTTTTCCAACCCTGTCACAACCCAGAACAGGAACAGAGCCTCAGCAGACACAAGACTCACCACCGGCATAATGTGACATGTCAGAATTATGTGTTCCCATCATTTCTTTGTTACTCTGTTTACTTAAACTTTCAAGACATCAGGCTTAAGGGAGACCCTGCAGAAATGTCCAAATGACTCCAGCATAATAATTGTATGATATACTGCTATTATTTCCCTTGAGTCTGTATTTATGGGGAAACTGGATATAAGTGTGTCTTGCAGGCTGAATATTGTTCTCTTAGCCCAGTGATTAGAGAGAAACAGAGGGTGGAGAGATGGCAAGGGAGGGATAGACTGGCATTGGCAAATCCATGCAAAACTCACCCATTAAAGTGGTAGTCATAGCGATCTTTCCAACCATCTACTAGCCCTAATGGTACACAGTGGACAGGAGTCATTAGAAAGCCCACCAAAGCAAGGTCAGTGAGCCACAGGTCTCACCAGCAAAGCCTGAAGGCTGATTCAGAAGGCACATCTACAATAAAAGCACCACTACTACCACCAAGAAAATAGCCAGACATCCTACAAGGCGCTTGACATTTGTCATGTTTCATGCTCATAATAACTCTCTATGATAGGTAATAGCATTATCACCATTTTACAAATGAGAAAAATGAGGAACAGACATGCTCAGTAACTTGCCTAATGTCAAGCAGCTGTCAAGTAACCCCAACCTTCCATGCTGGGGAGTCACCCCAACTTTCCACGCTGCAACCTTCCAGGCACCCATGTGACTGGGAGAGGCCATGCCATCAGCAGGTCTGTTCCAAGTCCACAAATTTTCTCTCCCCTCTTCCAATTTCTGATGATTAAACTGATTTACTTTAAAGCTTGTACACTTCCTGCAGCTTAAACAGATGGGAATGGCATCTACTAGCATAACAAAATTGTCTGGTGATGAGGACCCAACTCTAGAAGTTAAGTAAGAGAGAAATGCCAAGCCCCTTGCAGGCAGCCCGTGCTCAGTGATGTCTAGTGTCCTTCCTTCCTATAAACCCAGCTAATGCTATAGCCTCCTTCTTGGCTTACAGATCCACAACCCAGTGGCAAGGATGGCTACTGGCCTTTGTTTAGTCCGACAGGTCCCAAACATATTTAGCCACGAAGGGTTGTATTGAGAAACACCCATTCCACATTCCAAACAAACTTGGTGAAATGCTCACCTGTCCTCCCAGCTTCCAGCACAAAAACAGGGGATTGCAGGGAGGAGGAGCCAGGAGGGGCTTCCCTGGGGTGAAGGCCCAAGAGCAGCACGACACTGGGTCACTCCTGGCTCCTTTTCCAAGGGGTCTGCTCTTGGCAGCATGCCCAAGTGGCCCCTGGCTTTGCACAGACCCTGGTACCAATGGGCTGTCACATGAGAGGACATTTAGGAAGCAACATCCACTGCCCCTTGGGAATCCCCACTGGCTTTCCTCTCCAGAGATGTGGTGGCCAGCCCTTTCTGTTTATAATCTGAGAAACTATTAAAGAAAGGACAGGCATAACAAGGAGGCTGGGACACAGATAATCCAGAAGGCAAGAAATGGGGAGAAATCTCCCTAGGACCTGGAGTATGTCAGCCCATAAACTCCTGAAGGTTGGCGTCTTTGCAAACCCATCCCCAGCAGGTCTGGCCCATGGTGGGTGGTATCATGATGATGGGGAGGTGGCCGTCAGAGCCCTATAAAAGGATGACTCCACCTGGCCCTGGAAATGATAAACACAGCCCCTTACGTGCCCGTGGAGTTTGCAAGTTTACAAAGTGCTCTCTTGTGCATTATATCATTGCATCCCCACTGAAAATTTGGTATTATTCTTCTTTCTTCCAGTATACCAAAGAGAAAATGGGATTGTGAAAAGACAAAGGTCCAAAATCACAAGAGGGTATAAGTAGCGACCAGGTCGCTGGATTTAAAATGCCCCATCGGGAGCCTGCCTGTGCCCCACCCTGCTACCTGCCCTATCTGGGGTGTCAAGATCTGGCCAAAGGTTGGAAGAGGAAAAGATGAAAGGAGGCATAACTTGGCAGCCCTGGTGGTACAGAGTGGGGAAGATTTGAAACTGAAACAGCAAAAGGCAGTTTAAATAAGCAGAGTCTGCTGTGGTTTGAAGGTGTCCCCTCCAAAGTTCAGATGTTGCCAGTGTGACAGGATTAAGAGGTGGGACTTTTGAGAGGTGATCAGGCCATAAAGACTCCTCTCTTGTGAATGGGATTGAGGGCCTTATAAAAGAGGCTTCATACAGCATGCAGCTAGCTTGTCCTTCTGCCCTCTGCCATGTAAGAACACAGTGTTCTTCCCTTCCAGGGGATGCAGCCCTCATTAGGCAGCTGAACCTGCAGGCACCTTGATTTTGGACTTCCCAGCCTCCAGAACTGGGAGAAAATAAATCTCTGCTCTTTATAAATTATTCACTTTCAGACATTTTGTTATAGCAGCACAAACAGGCTAATCTGGAGTCTCAGACAGCAGCTGAGTTGGTTTTGAGAAATAGAAAGACTCAGATGGGAGAGAAAGGTGTCCCTCTCCAGTGCCAGCAAATCTGCCCATGAGATCATTGTTACCCTGGGCTGCAGGGCAGCAGCCCTGGGATCTGAGGGCAGGTTGGATATGGAGGCCTTATCAGGGAACCAGGCACTGCCCTGCCAGTCAGCAGCTCATCCTGGTACCAGGAGCTGCTACCCAGGGTCAGCGCTCACTTCCACAGAGCTCCTTTATGGTTAGGTTTGTAGAGCAAGAATGCATATTTCAAAGACATCCCTATGATGCTGGTCTTGCTCCAGAATCAGTCATCACATGAGTCTCTTGGTGCTGAGAACAAACGATGTTGTTCAAATTGCTGCATGTCCACGTTCACACAATGTGTTTTCTCAGAGATCCTGTGAGGCAGGGACTCCCATGGCCACAGCTGTGGGCAGCCAATCACACCAGTTCATTGCCAAGTATACAGCCTGGGTCCTCGGGCATCCTGAAGTTGGAGCATCAGCAAGGTTTCCCTGTGTTCCCAAGCTCTTCTCAGTGCCCAGGAGATAGTGTGTGTGCATGTGAGTGTGTCCAAGAAAGAAGGGAGGGACCGGATGAACGGTCAGCCCTGCCATCCTCCACGTGGCTTCCTGCTTAGCTTCTGCATGTCCCAGCTGGAGCCGGACATCGAGTTGGCTCCTTCCAGCTCTCCTGTCCAGGCCTCGGTTGCTGGTCCTGTAGGCACTGGCTGGGCTGTCACTCCAAGAAGCTGGAGTCCCTGGGCCACCGGAGGCCTCTTCCTGACAGTGAGGACTGCAGATGCCAAAGAGCAGATGTTGGCTGGTGTCACCCAACTGGCAGCACCTGCTGAAGATTCCCAAACTCCTCCTGCTTCTGTGGGTGCCCAGAAGACAGAGGCTGTGGCTGCCTGGAGCATGCAGCTCATGCTTCCTGAAGCCTTGTCAAAGGGCAGAACTGGGCCCTCAGCTCAGTGTGGGTTTCAGGCCTGGCTTCCCCTGTGTCCAGTCCAGGGGTCACATGGCCCCTTTTCCTTGCTTCTGTGATGGACCAGCAGGACTGCAGTCAGCACTTGGTGGGATGGACAGACACCCTGGGGCCCCTTTTTCCACCAGGCAGCCTCCATTGAGGGCTGTTCTTGTTCAGTAGATGGGACATGAGGCTTCACCTGAGCTGAGTTCATACAGGACAGGCAAGCCTGTCAGCAGCACAGCTGGGTTCATAACCAGGTCCCCAGGCTTTGAATGCCACCAGCAAGCTACCAGCCTGAACAGCTCAGTCTTCCGCTGGCTTTTGAAGATTAAATCCCCTTTTTGCATAAGCACCTAAGGGGATTGGAGCCTACAGAGGGCCAGCTTGGAAAACGTAAGGAGGCACATCTGTTCAGAGAAAGGCCTGGGGCGGCGTGGCTGTTCTTGCCAGACCGTGTTGGTGAGGAGGTCCGCGTGGGTGTCCATGAAGGTGGTGACACAGAGGGCCTACTGGCTCTGGAGGTGAGAACCTAAGAGACCAGGAGGTCCTGCTGGCCAGGGAGAGCTGGGGTACGGACAGCAGACCCCTCCCCACGGCTGCCTGGCTACCCAGATTGCACATGCTCACTGAGCGCTCTGCTGTCAGGAACCTCTGGGCTGAGTCTCTTCAGCAACTTCTTGCCTTGATAAACTCAGTACCTCCCAGGACAGTTCATGCATGGCTCCATGGACTGTCTCTCACCCGCTGAATGGATAACCGTCTCCCTGCAACTTCTACCCTTTGGGATGATCCTTCTTGCCCATGACATCCCTTCAAATGTCACCCCATGTGTTGCCGCTTCCAGCACCCTCCTCCTCCTGGGCCCTCTCCCCTGCTGGAACTTGAGCAGAGTTACTTAAGCTGCTTTACAAATGGGGCTTACACATGAGCTTGGTTCGAAGCAAGAGCACCACAGTTTAAGGGTCTGAAATCGTTAGTGCTGCCCAACATGACGGCCCCTTGTGGTCCCGCAATATCTCTGGCCTGCGGCTCCCCGTCCCATAGACGTGCAAATGCCTGGCTTGGGTCAGCACCCAAGAACAGGGGCCACTGCCCCTGATGGGGAAACCCAGAGCCCTCTACCCTGCTGCGTCCTGGCTGGCTCTGCTCTGCTCACATTAACGAAGCGGCCTGGAGGTGCCAAGCCAGCCCACATACATTCAGGACATGCCTGTGCCGCTCTTGAGTGTGGTGTGGGGCCCATCAGCACTGCACTGGGGGCCGGGCATCCTGGGAACTCAGGGCAGGATGGGCAATGCCCACAGAGCGTGCCAGGCACACAGTGTGTGGGGGGCGCCCGTGGTCCCCAGGTGGAGGGCATGCCGGGGTGGCAGGGCGCGGCCGGCGGGCACTCACAGGGCAGGGTCTCGGCGCTGTTCTTCTGGATCATGATGCAGAGCTGTAGCACCAGTTGGGGCGCGCTCTCCAGGAAGGTCTCCAGGAGGCGCAGCATGTTGACGTCTGCATATTCATACATCATAGCCCAGTAGAAGCGTCGCTGGTGTTCCTTCCGCCGCTGGCTCTGAATCCCCAGGTACATGGTGCGGATATACCTGCCCGGAGAGATGGGGAGAACACAGAGAGCATGGGTGGATGCGGGGACTCCAGAGGACCCTTGCCATTCCCCTAAAACCAACAGACCCAGCATTCCCCGCCCCTGCCCCAACCCTGTGCTCTGAAGTTCCCAGAGGCTTGGACGGGGCTCTGGGGGTCTCCCAGCAAAAGGACATGATGCTGAGGCATGGGGGAGGGGAAGGGCAGGTCAGGAAAGGATTTGACCCCTCATGGGCTCCTAAGCAAGTCCTCCTCCTCCTGGTCTCCATTTGCTCATCCGGAAGATGAGACTGTGGGGCACGATGCCCTCCCAGGGCCTGCAGGTAGGCATCTCAGCTGAGCCCCAGGACAGGGGGGGCTTTCTCAGGTTCAGGACCCGGGGGGGAAACAGTCCAGCAGGGTCGTCACCTCTGTTGTTCTGGAGCAGGAAAGGCAGGGAAGGGGGTGAACGTCTGTGAAGCTCCTACTACATGCCATTCGCTGGCTGGCCATGCCCAGGTGGTAAGTAGGAGGGTATAGTTCTCACATGTGACAGACAGGAAATAGTGCGGGCTCAGAAAGGTCACCCCCACCCTGTTGCTGGATAGTGGAACAAGTAGGAATCACACCCAGGCCACTGGACACCCTCTCTGGACATCAGGAGGACCCAGGGCCTGCCATGGAGTCTCCGTCTCAGAAGGGCCCAGGACACAGGTGCAGATCCACGGACCGCCCTCTTGGGACCACGCCCAGGCTCTGTGTGGGAGGGCCGAGGGGTCAAGGAAGCAGGTAGGGGGAAGAGCAAGGCTCACAGGTCAAGCAGGCCTGGACTCATCACTTGCTAAGTTGGGGACCTTGAACTAGTTACTCCAGCTCTGTGTCCTTGTCGCTCATATTTCATATGGGAACAGAATGAGAGCATCGCAGGGTGCATGGGAAGATTAGTGAGATGATATGCACAGTGGGCATCCCCCCAGGTTGTATGATAACCCCAGCCTCATTTTCACCAGAACTCTCTGGAACTGTGTCTCCAAGGCAAGAGAAGGACTTAAGGCACCATCCAAACTCGGCCAACAAGCTCCAAGTCTGGTCCAGGGGTGAAGGTATGGACAGGGCTCACCCAGAAGCAAGGGCCAGAGTGCATAGCTCTGTAGGCCCAGTCAGGATCAAAAACAGGAACCATAAACTGGGTGCCACCAGCAGTGGGAGAGAACCACACGCCTGTCCTTGACCGTCCTGTGGGATGGACGTTCTAGGACCCGCTACTGTGCCCTCTGAAATGCCGAGCCTGACTTGTAAAGATTCAGTGCATGGCTGATGCCCTATCCAGGCCCAGCTGGCCTTGGGTATTACCAATAACCCACTCAGGGCTGCTGGATGGTCCGTTTTGTCGCTGCCACACCACCAGCCAGCTCCCAGCCACTGCCCCTCTTGCCTGGAGGGATGCAGGAGTCTCCTCACTGGTTCTCCACTGTCTACTCTTACCCCTGAACAACTGATTCTTCAAGCCGCTACTAAGCCACAAGGGTGACCTCAAACACACATGCCAGCTGCAGTAAGCGCTGCTCGCCATCCGATGAGGGGTGCCTGGCTTCTCTCTAGATTCCTAAGGGCCTTTGGGGGCCTGGATCCTGAAGGGACCCAGCCAGGGAAGCTGCAATGGACACCTCATTTCTCTCCAGACCCACCCCCTGAGGTGAGCAGAGACACACCCTTACTAAGAACTAGAGGCTGGCATTGCAGTGATGGCCCCATCAGGGAGGGACATGGGAGGAAGGTCAGGGCACCAGAACCCCCGGGCCAGGTCCTTCCAGGTATACAGTCTCTTGGGGTCCCTGGCCCACCTTGCGGGTCGGGTCTGGTTATCACCATTCAACACATGGGGAAACTGAGGCTCTTGCATGAAATAAAGCACCCAATTCTGGTTCTGTTCCAGGTTCTTCCACCTGCTGACTGTGGCATTTCCACAGGGCGTTGCCTTGCTCTGGGCCCCTGCCTGTGAGTTCACAAAATCAGGAAACCAGGGAAGAGGCTCAGGAAGAGGAACGGGGAGGTTGCACCTGGTCTCAGAGCTCACAGTCACTAAGAGAGGCGAAGGGAGAGACATAGAGATAGACAGTGAGACACACACAGAGAGACAGAGAAGTAGGAGGCAGCTGAAGGAGAAAGCAAAGGTAAGGGGAGCAGTGTCAAATTTGGGGATCTGAAGGAGAAGACTGCCTGGAGGAGGTGATGGCAGAAAGAAATGTGTGCAGGGAGGTTACTGGAAGCAGATGTCATCGGTATTTTGGGAGGGGCTGAGGGTGAGCCCCTGATGGAGGGTGATAGAAGGGTCAGGCTGATCAACCATGATGGCAGTGCAGAGAGGCAGGACATCAGGGGACACGAATGCTCCAGCTGAGGCACTGAGGCAGGGCTGCGCGCCCAGAGCTTTGGCACACCCGTGTCCAGGAGAGCCGTGTGCCGAGTGGAGCCTCAGTGCGGTGGGTCTCCCAGATCAGAGCTGCTCCCTGTGACTCAAACCCGGCTCTCTCAACAGGTGGCACCTGCAGCACACAAGCCATGAGCCATAGATCACTCCAGGCCCCAGACCACAAACCTAATGGTCTCAGGGGTACACTCAGACTACAAACTCTGCTTCTTCTAGCCTCACAGGTGGTCCAGCAGCTGGAGGGATGGTTATACGGCAGCACTAACCCTATCCATCTGGGTCCCAAGTCAGTAATGCCAGTGCTCAGGTTCACCCAGGCAAAGAGAGCACCGGTTCTACCCCTCGACCCCACGTTCTCCCCAAGCCACAGGCCCCTCTGCCCACCAAGGCCGGGGAAAAGGAAAACAATGAGCCCAGAATATGCCAATTCAACTGGAATGCCTGCCGGGGGAGCCAATCTTGACGCTGTCCTGGGTGTGAGCACCCCAGGGTGTGGGAAGAGACAGGGTGGATGTAGGCAAAGCGGGTGCCACTCCTCCCTGAGCCAATTGTCAAGCAGACGCTGGGGCCTAGAGGGCACCACGGTCCAGGCAAAACCGAGTTTGGACAGCATGGTGCCTCCTGGGTCACTCACACAGGCACCATAGGGACTGATCACAGCCCCGCCCAGGAGTTCCTGACAGCCAGGCCTCAACGCAAATGCTCATCCTTTCCAACTGCTCCTGGCGCGGCCCCTCCTCTGCTACTCTTAAGTCCTTGGGTCCCCAGTAGACAACCGAGGGGTACTGGTTTGCAATATAATTGGGTCTGGACACTGGTCTAGTCCAACCCCTACTTTATAGGGGAGGGCCCCAGTGCCAGAACCCAAGCCACCACTGCCTCAGTCACTCAGTGCTGTGGGGCCCAGAGGAGACCAGAACCCAGGCCTGACCCCATGACCTTGCTTGTCCCCCACAACACGTGCAAAGCCCCTGCCTCTCATGCAGGAGGATCCTGGCAGCTCCTGCAATCACGTGGCCGCTGCCGTCCTGGAGGCTCTAGGATTCTTCCTCCTTCTCCTAGCTTTCCCTGGTGTCTGTCTCCCTCAAGATCTAAGGAGCTGCCAAGAAACAACCAGGCAGATGGGTGGGGTGGGAGGAAGGCATAAGGCATGCCCCGCCCCCCAAAACCCCTGGGCCAGCGCTGCTCTCCCTCGGTATCTCAGTTTCCTGGGTGACCTCTGAGGTTGCCTTGAGGTTGCGTTGCCAGCCGCCTCCTGCAGGGCCTCCCACATCCCCTCTGCAGAAGCGGCCTCGGCGCGCGGCCACACGGTGGCGCCAGACCCTAAGCGTCGCGGAAAGACGACTCCTGGCGGGTGATCTCATCCTACAGGCCCGCGCCCTCTTCTGCCAGGGCACGGGGTGCAATCCCATAGGTGCGCTCCGAGGTGGGAGGCAAGGCGTCTGCAGGACACTCAGGATTGGCTGCCATTCCTCCAAGCCCACTCTTTCTTCACCTTCCTGGAAGGTTCCAGAAAGCTTACCGCACCCTTCTCCAGGAAGGTAGCTTGGGAGTGAAGACACCAACTCTCCTCCCCGGTTTGCTCCCAAAGTCGGTGTCACCTCCTGTCACGCCATATCTCCCCTAGGAGACTCGGATCATGAAATGCACGGGGGTAAAGGCAGCAACGCCACGTGTCCTCAGGAGCACGGGCTCAAGAAAGCTGGGCCTGGTCTATGGTCTGCAGGACTGGGCGACCTTGAGCAAGTCACCTCCCATGGCTGGGCCCCGCTATTCCTATCACAGGAGGGGCAGGCAGGAGGGATCTCCAAGCCTCTGCCAACATCTTATAACTTTGTCTTTCTTCAAGTCAGTGACCTCACAGAGCACAAAGGATGGCCTAGCATCTTTACAAACAATAATGTCTCATGTTTGTGTGCCATTCACTTGTGCCAGGCTCTATTATGGGCATTTGGTACCTATTACCTCATTTAATCCTCACAACACCCCTATGAGGTAGCTGCAATATTACCTACCAATTATTCATTTTACAGGTGCAATATTATGGGTGCAATATTACCTATCAATATTTATTTTACAGACAGCAAACTGAAGCACTGAGGTTAAAACATTCGCCTTGCTCTTCCCAGCTAAGTAAGTAGCTGAGCAGGGCTTCAAGCCCAGGCAGTCTGGCTTCGGGGCCAGTGCTGTTGACAGCTCCTGCCCACGCACCTCCCAGAGGTAGACCATGTGTCTCCTTACTTCTGAACTCAGTCCAACTTGCCTGACAGTGGGGAAGAACGGAGTTTGCCCAAAACACCTGGGCTCCCGTCCAGTTCTGCCACCTGGCTGTGTTACCTTGAGGGACATCTCCTAACTTCTCTGAGTCTTAGTTTTCGCATGTATAAAACGCCTAGTCCAGAGTAGAACCCCAGAACATGTTGGACGAATCAGTGCATACCATAGTGCCCCCTCAGAGGGTCACAGGAGCCTTAAATAAGACCATGCCTGCGAGCACAGACAGGAGTTTAGAAGTCGCCATGCAGATGGCAGCCATTAATGCTCCCTGAGGTGCTCTGTTCCTGTGTTCCCTGCAGCCCACTCTGCTTA